CTGCCATTCGTAAGCCTAACACTACTGGTGTCATTGCATTACAAGAACAAATGTTTCAACATCTTTATCTGTGGGTCTGTGGTCAGGTGCATCGGGGGGGGGGAGGGGCAGGAAGTGTCCCTTCACATACCTCCTGCCACAAGGCCAGACTCTCCCAGTTGAATGGCTACACCAAAGCCCCCCAGCTTCACTGGAGCAGAGTTCTCCTTGGATGCCAGGAGAACACAGTGGGGCTGTGGAATATCGGGGGGAGGTTATTAGTGTAACTCAGCAAATGATTCCACCACAGGGATTCAAAAAATAATATGATTTTAGGAACTTTATTTCGTTCTTCTAATCATCCATCAATCACTGAATCACTGATAAGCCCAACAAAGAGAATTTCGCAGGAACTGACCTAATTTTCTTACAATAACACAGTTTGCCAACTTCCTCAACATTCCCCAACAAGTCCTGACTCATATTCGCAACGATGTATATCAGGCAGACCAAACCCATCAGAGAACGGTACGCTTCAAATGTGAGTCCATAGGAGGCCGTGCAGGCTTTCGCTTTATCGTGTCACTGCTTCGACAGCCAGCGAGGCTCCCAAGAGCTTCTCAGAGCTATTTGTGTTTGAAACCCACAGCTACAGCTTCCGTAGGGTTTTCCTGCGGCGAAAAGGGGATCTGCAGCCAAGTCCGCCTGCGCATTCGGTTACTTCTGCTTCTTTCTTATTCATCTGCATGTTTTTTTTTTTTGCTGTCAATCTGCCCATATTTGCATAGAGGAAAGAGGAGGTCTGTGGGCAGGAGTCCTCTGTGCAGAACAGTGCAGGCAGGGCGAGAAGCCAGAGCACGTCAGGAGAGCAGAACGCAGCCGCCAAATGCTCCAGCTGTTGTGGGTTTGATGATTTAATTACAGAAGCACCGAAGGGGCAGGGAACAGCAAACTCAGAAATTCTCACAAGCAAGATGCAAAGGGTAAGTCGAGGTGGTCGTTGTGGGGAGAACCTTGAAATGACAGATGTAAAGTCACCAAACTCGTTTTGCTCATACTGGTAAAACTATACACATCCATATTAACATGAGAAGAAAAAATAATGCATGCAGATCAACCCTCCGGTGCCAGGAACAAGAATTTAGCGACAGGAAATAATTTAGTGCAGAAAATACCTTTTCATGTGATCGACAGTCATTTTATATTTGCCTGTATTTACTTAGCTGATGCTTTTATGCGTTGTGACACGCAGGAGAGACAGATACAGCATCACAAGTGCATCACGAGCAAACAGCCCACAAAGGGTCCACTAGTGCTGTTAGGCTGAGCTTCCGGTGAGCGACCAGTAAGACGTGCAGCGCAGTTTTAGAACCAGAGTGTGTGGTTGTGCTTGATGAACTCCAAAGCTGTGAATCAGGCCAAGAAGCCCTGTGCTACGACTGAATGTCACAATCTGCCTCATCTCCAGGGGAGCGTTTGAAAAACGTTGCGCCTTCCTTCTGAAGAACCGAGGACAACGAGAGCGGGAGCTGGTCCCAGGCCGCCGACCGTTCAGGGCGCCCATCATGAGTACCAACACGCACAGCTATTCCACAGCAAACGGCACAGACACCTGCGTCGATGACTCCGTGCTCGGGCTGCCTCTGGCCATCTTCTACTCCATCTTCTTTGTCTTCGGCCTGTTGGGGAACGGCCTAGCCCTCTGGGTGTTCATCTTTGTCCATGGCAAGAAGAACTCGGTGCGCGTGTTCCTCATCAACATTGCTGTGGCTGACCTCCTACTGGTGGCTTGCCTGCCTTTCCGTGTGATTTACCACAGCATCGGAAACCGCTGGACCCTGGGCCCCATACTGTGCAAGATGGTGGGGAATATTTTCTACATGAACATGTACATCAGCATCACCCTACTGGGCTTCATCAGCGTGGACCGATACATCAAGATCCATCGGGGCAGCGGCCGGCGCCTCCTCCGCAGCCACTGGAGCACCTTGCTCTGCGGCATCATCTGGACCGTGTCCATCACTGCCATCATCCCCATGATCACGCTCTCCGAGGGCAACGAGGAGGAAGAAAAATGCTTCCAATACAAGCAGAAGAAGAATGCCAAAGGCAAGGCCTACTTCAATCTTGTAATGGTGGCAATCTTCTGGTTGATATTCCTTTTGCTCATCATCTCCTACGGAAAGATTGCCATGAAATTGCTGGAAGCTTCCAAAAACAATCTTCCCAATGCCATTAAGTACAACAGGACGGCCAAGAAATCATTCTTTGTGCTCTTCCTGTTCACCATCTGCTTCTGCCCCTATCACGTGTTCCGGATCTTCTACATCCATTCGCAGATTACTGAGCCTTCCTGTCAAGTGAAGAACATCGTGGACAAGACTAACGAGGTAATGCTGCTCCTCTCCACCTTCAACAGCTGCCTGGACCCCGTCATGTACTTCCTGCTCTCTGGCTCGGTCCGCAAGGCCACCATGCGGATACTCAGCAACTTCTTCCAGGTGCAGGAAATTAGTGGGAACAGCTCGTCCACGGAGCTGCGGAGGGCCTCGGTGCCGCAGGTGTCCAGCACCCCACGGAACAGCATCAGCCTTCTCATCACGCAACGCTGCAAGGCCTCCCCAACTTCTTTCCGGCGCTGACTTCCCTCGATCGTCCTGTAGGGGGCACTGCCTGAACATTGTGCGAGCAGGAGGCCCCGCGGCAGGACACCCGGGACCTAAGCGGGGTAGAAAGAGGGCGGCGCTCTGCCGGAAGTCTCCCGCAGCCCCTTGTGCTGGGTGTCAGGGAAGGGGGCCTAGCTGTGGGAGTATCTGGGCATGGACCCCCTGGAAGTCGTACTAGGTCCCCTTAAGGTGCGGAAGAAGGGTCGGCGCCAGCGGGGATCCGACATGCCAGCACCGGCCAGCAGCTAGCTACGCCAGGGCGCGGGGAGCGACCTGCCCCGTCATCAGACCCAGCGAACCCCGGGGACTCGCATCAGAACTGAGGTGGTGACTGGGGGTGGTGGTCGCCGGGACAGTCGACCTCTGAGGAGGGGACAGTGTAGAACCGCCGGGGCGCATGTCCCAGCATGTCCCAGCATGTCCCAGCATGTCCCAGCATGCAAGTTGTAAATAGCCCTTGTTGTGTTGTTGTTAATGTTCATGGTTACATTTCCTTATTGTTGCGCATGTATTTACTCATGTCTTGTGTGCACCCGGTCCGATCCTTGCGTGTATTTCTCCTGTGTAATTCTCCCACTGTGTGTGCATCTTGCAGTTCAGTGTCTGACGACCTTGTGTTTCCCATCAGTGTGGCTGGTTCGGTGCTCGTTGGGTGCCTGTTGTAGTGTTTTCAGCAAATAAACAGCGTGTTCTCCCCGGTAAGCAAGTCTCCGTGTCTCTCTCAGCCCTGCGATGCCTCGGTCCGCCCGACGCCACAATATTCAATTTTTTTTATTAGATTAGATTAGATTGACTTTATTAATCCCACAATGGGGAAATTCCTTAGAAACAGCAGCAATAATAAAAAAGACAGTATAACAGAATCCATAGGATCAGTAAAAATAACAATATAGGAACAATATAGACAATAAAAACAATAGAAAACAATTTCTAAAACTGTATAAATATACAAGTAAAAATATAAAAAAAATTATAATAAAAGAATTACTGGGATTTAAAAAAAGTATATAAAACTTAAAGTAATACACTGTCCAGTTCTTCTTTTCAAATCATAGTGATACAAGTTCACTGTACAGTTCAGCTTTCCTATCAGTACAGGACATAATATCTGAAAACAGAAATGCAGGCAATAGTTCATTCTGAAAATGCAGTGGTAAAGGTCAAGAGCAAGGGGCATTTGCATTTATGTCTATAGATCTTATTTATATCAATAGCCATGAACAACAGACCCCAGGTCAGATGATTCTGCCTTTCCTCTGGGAAATAAAGTTTTCTGATTCTGATTCTTACACACTATAGCAGAGTCTGTAATCATTGCAGCAACAGGTAGCACGTTTCAACGACCACTCAGACAGACAAACAAAAACAACGGATATCCTGAGAAGTGTGTTCGTTATTACAGGAAATCAGTCTGAGAAAAAGACTTTAACTATAGATACCTGCTGCTCCCTGCTGCAATGTTTGCATTTAGCCACAAGGGGGCACAATAGGACCACAATGCAAGATAAAAAAAAAAAATGTCTGCTTTGGACCTGAATAAAATCATAGTGGGTAGGGGGCTGGGGGCGGGGTTAATGTTCATGCATACAGGCACTCAGGAGACAGAGCCTCAGTTGATCCCATTGATACTCAGGAAAATGGTAAGATCCCTCTGCGGCAAGTCCTACTATGGTCCTGTTGATACCCGACGCGCGGAACAGTGACAGTGACAATGACTTCAGCACAGTGGTGAGTATCGCCTAACAAACCTAAAAACCTTAAATGACTTGACTGCGTTGGTCAGAGTCACTGTCTCATACACAATTATATTATTATTATTAATATGTTATTATTAGCTATACCAGCTGTAACTAAATGTATCTTTTAGTGGCTTTTGACGAATGGAACGCGAATTGTTGATCTACTTGAGTATGTGACACTGTGAAAAAGCGTGATGACAGAACGGCATCTTCCATTCTGTATGATGATGAAGAGGGAAAAGGAAGACGTACTCAACTTACTAAAAAAATTGATCGTCAAATTTCTTAATGCCTGAAAAAATAAGGGAAAAAATAAATGCCTGAAAATAAGGGAAATGCCCAGGAAAATGGACTTTACGAGAACGCGGTAGAGAAAAGTCCCGTCGGTGGCTGACCGAACAGAAGCCTTTTCCCTCTAACCTTATAGGTACATGATCACTTTCAGATCCATTGTTACTAATGGAAATGGTTTTACCTCATACTGTTTCCGATTCGCTTGTGTAGTAATGCTGCAGTCGCAGTAATCAAATATCACTGGGAAAAATTAAGCATTTCATTAAAAAAATCTATTTAAATATATTAAAAATGACTCAGGCAGAATTTGAATTTGCATAAACCGTATTGCATATGAGATTTTAAGGAGACAAAGTATCATCCTCTCTAGGGGAAATGCCTTCGGGGGCGACGGGCGCAATCAGACACTGCTGCTGGTCCTGTGCTCGTCTGTGACGGCTGTGCGCGCTTCTCTGTGCAAACCCAACAGGTCGGTGGAGAATGGCTCCAAAGACAGTGCGGACTGCGTTCCAGCGGCCGATGGATCCTGCCTGTGCACATCTTCGGCCACACGCCTGCTCCTGCCCACGCTGTATACTTTCATGCTCCTGACGGGGCTGACGGGTAACGCCTTGTCCCTCTGGATCTTCACCAAGAAGATCAACACCAAGAGCTCCACGCACATCTACCTGATCAGCCTGGGTGTGTCCAACCTGCTGCTCTGCCTCACCATGCCCTTCCAGGCTGCCTACTTTGCGGCGGGCCCCAGCTGGCACATCAGTGACCCGACCTGCAGGCTGGCCATAGGCCTGGTGACGCCAGTGCTGCACATCAACATCTACGTGGGCATGTTCACGCTGACCTGGATCGCCCTGAGCCGCTGCGCTTTGCTGCTGCAGCACGACCACGGCGGCCGGCCCAGCACCTTCACCAGGGTCTTACCGGCGTCGTTCTTCCGCAGGCTACGGCAGGCGAGCTTCGCCAAGGCCTCCTGCGTGGTCACGTGGGCCGTTGTGATTGTGGCCGTGCTCCCCGTGGTCATATACTACTCTGTCCAGGAGGCCACAGGTCTGGACAGGGGACAGGTCTGCTACAGCCTGCCCGTGGAGGTGGGCGGGCATGGCTCCCGCGGCACATCTGTCGTGGCCTTAGTCTTCTTTTACGTATGCTTCCTGTTGGTGCTGGCCTCCTACGGTGCCGGGTCCCGGCACGTCATCAGGTCCCGAAGGAACACGGCCATCTTGGAGAAGCACCAGGTCTACGCCAGATTCCAGCGCAACATCGTCCTGATCCAGTTCGTGCTCACGGTCTGTCTGCTGCCGCACCACATATTCAAGGCCGTGTTCATCAACCAGGTCCAGCAAGCAGCCCAGCTGGTGACCGACGGCTGCCACTCGCTCTCCCGGCTGGTGGAGGTGAAGAACCTCCTCACCTGCCTGGCAGTCCTGAGGTGCAGCACCGACCCCATCATCTACTTCCTGTTGGACAAGACCTTCCGCAAGAAGGCCATGGGCATGTTAAACACCAGCGTCACCTCGGAGGTCCCCCCGCCAGCCACCCAGTCTTTTCCATCTGTCGCCCAAAACAGAAGCTGTGGACAGGATAATCAGTGCCTTCAAGCCATGACTCAACAAAGTCCGGTGGTCTAAAAAATCTCAGTGTCATGAGAAGCGGAACGAACACAACACATTGGGACTAATATGAGACCCGGGAAATTACAGGGGACCTTGGAACTATCAAGGGACCTTAGAACTATCAAGGAACCTTAGAACTATCAAGGGACCTTGGAACTAAGGTTTAAACTACTTTGCCTATTTCATCCCACATTTTTTATTCATAATTCTGAATGTGCTCCTTGCAACTGTAAGACCATGTAGCTCTTCATATTTAATGTAGGAGGACAAAAAATCTCACTCATGGAGACCTGTTCAACAAGCAGCATTCTGCATTAGCTTGCATTTGTTGATGTGCGGAAATGAACGCTTCCTTATTTTCAGGGAAGAACCACGACATCTCCGTGGCAACACACAGTTCTCCTTTCGAGGATGTGAGCTGGCCCACTCTTCTCACCTCTTCCAGCTGCCTGTTCTAGAAGCTCATTTCAGGTCCTTGTTGCATGGCACACAAACTCCTCAGGTGTTCCGTCACAAATCTGGACGCAAATGAGTTCCTCATGGTCTTTCAGGAAAAACATTATACCCATAAAACATAAAACCACATAAACTCCAGTTTCCAACTGCGGTTCAGCAGCTGAGCATCGTGTTCAGGGGTGTAATGAACAAACCAGTAGATGCGTCTTACACATGCATCTAAATTTACAGATATGTTGAGGTGGACCACAAGAGTGCATTGTATTCGAGGACAGCACAGGAGAGGGTGATTGTATTTAATTGTACCAAAATATACTTAATTTGTTGTAAGACTCAAGCTAAATATTAATAAAGCAATGTGTAAATCATTTTTAGCCACCCTTCTGCACATGTTGCACTGTTAGCTCTGACAGGTTGGTGGCCACTGTAATCCCAGTAATCCCATAGCCTGACCAAGAGCTCCAGCAGACCAGGTATGGTGTCGTGCTGCACACCTGCTCAGGGCTGCACCTTTAAGGAAACGTCACCCGGTGGCACCGTCTAAGGCGGCAGCTCGAATTAATCGCCGCAATAAAATCAGATCTGTCCTGTGTGCATGGCAGATTAGATTCAAGTGCAGATATACAGATATGCAGAAGTGGTTGAAGATGCGAGGATGCAACCTCTGGCCCCGTCAGCCTTCCTGCAAAGGCAGATACTTATGAAAAGACCCCACCCCCACCCCACCCCACCCCCAACAGAGAAGTTGTTTGCTCTCAGCTTCAACCTCACCATGCAGCACTATTCTGCTCCTAGTTCTCATATATACAAGCTCAGGACTTGTATTAATTACTGCACACTGAAAAACCCCACTTCAGCTAAATTACGAGTCCTGCTTAGTGCAATTCTGAGCCATGAACTTCTGCATTACCTTCCACAATTATTGAATCATTTGGTTGGATTTGTAAACACCCACAAGAATGTTATTCTGTACGAATGCATAACATCCAATCCCATTTTAGCATCCATGAATGGGAAAGCTCAGTGCCTCAAACTGACCTGAGGACACAGGGTGGTGTGCGGCTCTGTGCGGTAGGACTGGGATTAGAAAGTTGTGGGTTCAAATCCCATGGCTGGCAGAGTGAGGTCACACTGACGGGCAATACAGCAGGATCACCACATAGTACAGGATAGAGCAGTCTCTGTGTCCCCAGCAGTCTCTGTGTCCCCAGCAGTCTCTGTGTACCCAGCAGTCTCTGTGCTCACCAGCAGTCTCTGTGCTCACCAGCAGTCGCTGTGTACCCAGCAGTCTCTGTGCTCACCAGCAGTCTCTGTGTGCCCAGCAGTCTCTGTGTACCCAGCAGTCTCTGTGTACCCAGCAGTCTCTGTGTCCCCAGCAGTCTCTGTGTACCCAGCAGTCTCTGTGTCCCCAGCAGTCTCTGTGTCCCCAGCAGTCTCTGTGCTCACCAGGTCACACCCCAGAAGCTTAACGCCGTCGCGCTAAAATACTTGGCATGAGCATCAGGTTGAGGTCCCTGCATCCTGTTCGTTTTCTCTTTGGCAGTGATTATGCAGAGCCTGAGCCATGTTAGCTGTCAGGCCCACTGGGAAAAACAATCTGGTTTCCACAGAAATTTATTAAACACCTGCATAAATTATGATGCAATTCTGATAATTAAAAAAAAAAAAACAACCAGGGAAAGCGCTGTGAGAAAGTAAGTCAACAATATACTTTACGGCACCTGCCGAACATGCAGCCCAACTCAAGTCTCAATACAATTACAGCATCACCGAGTGTAACAACTACGCAACAGTGCTCATGTCACACCATTATCAAGCAAGAAAAGAGAGGCAGGGAGCTGTGAACCTCAAACAGGAGACACCTACAAGCCGAGAGGTGTTCATATACCATAGGATGAGCTCCGAATGAATACGCCATAGGTTCTAGGTTCAAATTCCAGACCGTTAATTATATCATAGCCTTGATGAAAGCAGTTAGCATATATCTTTGCTATTCACTCAACAAGAAAACACAGTAAATTTCGCCTGACATGTTCGTGCGAAGTTCTCTGAATGTTAGTTCAACAGTCACGAGCCCTAAACAGCACACAACTTCTTATTTGTGGTAAAAGCATCAAATGGATAGCAGGTCATAGTGCAAGTTTCCACCCTCAATGCAAGCAGCAAGACTGCTGCACGTGCAGGATGAGCGTCGAGGGGAAGGTGATTCACCCTAACGGCTGTCAGATACCAACTGCACTACCACTAGCACCCAGAAGTGAATTCTGGGACTTCAAATCCATTAACACATTCTTTGCAAAACCTGCATTCCAATTTTTTCTGATTGGTTGAGATTAAACTGCCGGCATCAAAGCATGATGTTGGTATTAATAGCTGAGAAAGGCTGTTGACTGTGGTCTTCACTTCCTGTTCTAAAATCTCATTCCCACATAGAAACTCTAACCTTACCGAAGACTGTCTGCTGGAATCTGAAGTCCCAGATAAATAAATAAATACCAAGAATGGCCGTAATCTGTCTTCCCCGTCTCTCATTTTGCATTAAAGACTCTCTGTTAGCAGTACAGCATGTCTCTCCAGGCAATCCATCACATAGTTTCCCGCAAAATAAAATATCACTTTCAGCATTTTGGTTTTGCGGTTGTACCTCTGTGTCTGAGGTCAACAAATCGCAATGGGGGTTGGGGGGGGCCCAAACAGCTGCCAGGTCAACACCGGGGGCGTGCGGGGGCTCCCAAACACCACTGAGCAGCGGGGAGGGTCAGGCGGGTTGGGGCTCACCTTCACATCGCGGTGGATGACGTTGTTGTCATGGCAATAGCGCAGAGCCTCCAGGATTTGCCGCATGTAGTGACTGAGGGGAGGACAGAGCCGGGGTTAGTGGACCGAGTCTACGGGCTGGCATCCCGGGGAACCCCCCCCCCCCCCCCCGGCTGAATAACATCAATTACCTCCATTGAAACGGCAAAGGCTCGCATCATTATAAAACCCAGATTGAAAGATCCACAATACAGAGGCCTGAAAGGTTCCAACCAAGGAGGGATAATTAATTACACGGGGGATTCAGGAAGAGATATGGGCAAAGCCTGTGTTTTAGCTGTGTCAGGATAACAGAACAGCTCATGGCGTGGTAAATTAAAGTTCATACGCGTCTGATAAAAATACAAAAATATAGGCGTTCACAAGATTCGGTGAGGGGGGGGGAGCACTTTCGTTCAGGTCTTGCTTAAGTCAAGACTTGCTTAGTCAAACTTGCAGTGACTAATGGCTTAGTCATTCTTGCAGTGCCCATGTCAGGTCAGGGGTCAGGGGTCAGGGCATTCCCAGATCGTGAGCAAACAGGGAACCCTTTAGAGGGCATCACATGAGCGCTGCTCAGAAAGCACCCCCAGTCCCCCTGTCTTGTCAGCTGGCCGCTAGACAGAAGACAGAACATACTTTCTCCATAGCTAGCAGGGCAGCGGGTAGCTGGCGGGAGGGGTTCACTCAGACCAGAGTAAGTATCCTGTGCTGTGCTGGGTGCTTAATTAGAGGTTTTCATGGCCGGAAGGCAGAAGACTGCCTGGCTGAGCCGCTGTGACACACAGAGAGACTGATGGGCGGCCATGGGGTTACTGAGAGAGCTGCCAGAGGTCGGAGCAAAGCTGGTGCGAAGAGCAGGCTGACCTGGCAACAGCTTCACTGTAGACGAAGCCGGCGTCCGCACGCTTCACGATCTCAAAACACAGGTCCGCCCCGTCCATGCTGAATGAGAGAGAGAGAGAGAGAGAGAGAGATGAGAGGGAGAGAGACAGTCAGTGTGGGGACTACAGGGGTGTGTGTCTGCATGTGTGAGTGGGCTACAAATCCTGTGTATATGGGTGCAGGTGCATGAGGAACTGATTTAGAGATATGTGTGGGACCGGGATAGATGGCGTTTGGGGACGTGACTGTGGCGTGCTGGCGCTCTGATCTGACAGCACTGGATCAGCAGCACGCAATCTCTCCAGGCTCCCCAGCTCAGGGTCAGAACAGTCCAGCCCCTCAGCTGCAGCAATGCATTCTGGGATTACCTGCACATCACCGGTTCTGCCCTTCTCTCAGTGTGCCTGGTCACGTTGCTTTAATGCCTTGTGTGAGGATGCTGTCCCATTCATCTCCACTTTGGCGGAACGTGGTGAAGGGGCTTGGGGACCTGGGCGAGCTGACGACCCGTGAGCGCAGTGATTTGTAAATCCAGTGGAAAACAGAGGGTTTCTCAATACCAAGAACACAAAGATTGTATTTGTGATGCTGCTAAGACCGTTTTTGCTAACTTGCCTCCAAATAACTAACCTGTGAGGCAGTGAATCATGGGATTGGTCTCATTTGGCCAGGATGCAACTGATGTGTCCTTGATATTTGGGGCAAAAACGACATCTGAGGATTTTTACCCTCCTTAGTACTTCTGCTCTTGAGAATAGGACCTGGTCTTCGGCAACGGAAGATGGTGTAAAACGGGGACCCGAGAACACAAGTACGGTGAAGTACTCATACTGACAAACACCCCAAGAACCAGCGGGCATTGTGACCTGCCATATCCCATCATGCTTTGGGGTGAGAGGAGATGAGGGCGACCAACTCCCAGCTCCAGCAACACCAACCCAATTGTAACCCCATCGTACCTTAAAGTGCATCGTCTCTGTCCCCAAACCACCGCCCCCCCCTCCCCCAAGGAGAGGATGAGCTACTCACAACTCGAAGACCATGTAGAGCATTCCATCGGAGCTGTAGGTCTCCAACAGCTCCACGATATGCGGGTGCTTCAACATGTGACAGATGCTGGCCTCCCTCTTCAGATCTGCGGGAAGAGATGGACAGAGTGGGCATCTCCACAAGGTAAAGCATCTCGGGATTGACGTCAAGGGAAGAGCAACTTGCGAGTAACTAGGAGGTCTGAGACAAAGCAGAAACTGGACTTTCAGAAAAGTGTGGAATTTAACCAGAACGATGGAAAGTGCCAGATCTGGACATTGGAGGGTTGGGTCGTGGGCACACTCATCCACACTAGTCATCGCAGAAAAAGACCTTAGGAGTCGCCTAAGTCGGCCATAATGCATTCGCGGTCCACGATGTTGGTTATTATCGTTAAAAATTTCTGTAAACTGAAATAAATCAATATCAATGAAGATAAAATTTAAAAACTACAACTAAACCAAAATTAGAAATATTGCTTCTGGAACTAACAAGAACAAAGATCAGATACTTCCTACTGTTTTAATACCATTTAGCTAATTTAATGATTTATCTTTATTTACCATGAATAATACCAGGAATTGTTTGCCCGTTCTGAGGACATGAGCACATCATACACAGTGTGTATTCATGACTTTATTACTAAAACTTAAACTGAACCTAAAATATAAAAAAAGAAAAACCAGTACAAACTAATAAAACCACACTGAAAAACTAAAACCAAAATAGATTTCAAATAAAAACAAAAAGAGCAGCGCAGTGTGAGAGCGAAGAGGCCTATCTCACAGCCACCGCAGTGTGAGAGCGAAGAGGCCTATCTCACAGCCACCGCAGTGTGAGAGCGAAGAGGCCTATCTCACAGCCAGCTCTTTTTCTCATGGCATCTATTGTTCTTTTTGTCAGTGTAATTGATTAGCTTCCATTGTTCCAGATGTTTAAAATGGTGACTTTTGCTCCATTTCTCATGTCACTCTTCGGGCTCCCCTGCCAGATACATGCAGGATATTTTATATATTCGGCTTAACTGTACGACATGATTGGCATCTTTCATTGACACTCATAAACACATTCATAAACAGCATGGACAGCCATGGGAAATATTAAGAGACCACTCTTTATTTTTAAACAAATCTGCATTCCAATGCCAGAGATGACTGCTAACTTATCCTTCAGTTTCCCCTGAATCAGTGGATGAGATCAAGTGACCTTCAGAAGGAATGGGAAACACTAAGTGCAGGTGTGAAGTGCACTGCTAGGAGAGTTTGTATCTAGCAGGACTGAAGACCCATAAAGCAAGGAAGAAGCCCTTCATTAATGAGAAACAGGGAAGAACCAGGCTGCAGTTTGCAAAAAAAATACATATATTATTCACAGACGCAAACACATGTAAATTGAGAAATGAGTGAAACAAACAATCGTGCAGGGTGTCTTTATATACAGCCATGGAAAAAAATAAGTTAAGAAACCTAGTTGATTTCCGGCTAATTTTTAACACTTTTTTTCTGTTCGCCTTTCACACATTTTACACGCATCACTGCAGTGACCCAGCTGCAGCGAGGCTCACAATCGATGACACTAAGGACTGTAATGTTCTTCTGTGATTGGCTGGATAATGCCCAGTGCACATACCTGAGGAGCCAGTCGCCTCACCCGTACACTCTCTGCATGAGAAGGTGCCACCAAATCATTGTCAACGGAAACAGAAATAGACGCACGATGACATACATGGTTATTCCTGAAGAGCCAGTCCCCCAGCCTGGCCCGAGTAGTAGAAGCTGAGTCCCCCAGCCTGGCCTGAGTAGCAGAAGCTGAGTCCCCCAGCCTGGCCCGAGTAGTAGAAGCCTGAGTCCCCCAGCCTGGCCCGAGTAGTAAAAGCCGAGTCCCCCAGCCTGGCCCGAGTAGTAGAAGCTGAGTCCCCCAGCCTGGCCCGAGTAGTAGAAGCCTCAGGTAACATACACAGTACCTCCCCCCCAAAAAAATTACCCACACCCTCCACTTTTCCAGGCCATTGCCTCCCAGTGCCACTGGTGCAGCACAGGGGGCCGGCGTCTTTTTACAGACACCCTTTGATGAACCAGCTGTGGCAAACACTTGGTGCCTTTTACATGATGACCACTAGGGGGTGCACTACAGCACAAATGCTGGCTGGGTTTACATTGACATATTTGGCAGAAGCTATTGTCGGCCAGCAAAAGAGATACTACATCAAGCATCATCATCATCGCACCGCCCCACCTCATTTAAATCGCACATTTTATAAGAGGGGGGTTTTATCAGCCTTAATCAGGGGATCAATCTGATTTATTCAGAAGGTTCCCCATAACAGTGTGAGGGCTGGGGCCAGCGAGAGGGTGGCTGTGAAACCAGAGGTGCTGGGGGGGGGTTTCTGTAAACATGAAAGCTGATATTCAGCCAGTGCAGAAGGGCCATGGTTCCCTGCCCCCCACGCTCTCACTGAAGCCCCTCATTGCCTTTATCACACTCGCTGATGTCAGACCCACAGCTGTGCCTTGCCTCTCTCAGCATGCCTTTTAGTCCTGGCCCCATAGCCATTCACTCAAGCAGTGCAGCGTGTGACACACGGGGGGGGGGCTGAGGGAGAGGCACTGGCAGTGAGCTTGGGGTCTCTGGGGACCCTCCGTGTTTGGGGTGGACGGAGGGACGCTCGTGTTGAGGAGCAGCTGAGGAGCACCAGGATCAGTCACCACTCACAAGAGCCATCCCATTCCATCCCATCCCATCCCCATCTATCGCATCCTATCCCATCCCATCCCATGCCATCCCATTCCACGCTATCGCATCCTATCCCATCCCATGCCATCCCATTCCACGCTATCGCATCCTATCCCATCCCATAACCATGCCATCCCATTCCACGCTATCGCATCGTATCCCATCCCATTCCATGCTATCGCATCCTATCCCATTCCATGCCACCCCCCTAGCCCCTGCCATTCCGCCTTGCCCAGTCATACTCGCTGTACAGCACACATTGCTATGTGCGGTGCTTTTTACAATGGGGGGGTGGCTTTTGCATACGAAAATCTACCATGACTTACGGGAACTTGGTTTTGAGTGCTCAAGTCAAAAGGGCGTTTGTTCTGTTGCAATGTTTTGAGCAATAACCCCCACCTCCCCACCCCGGCGACCCCAGTTTTTTGAGTGGGCGGAGGCCATTCCAGGTCACATGACTTCCAAAAAAAAAAAAAAACAGCATTACATCCCATGAGATACTCAATCTCCCGTATAATGACTGTAATTGAGGGTGTGGCAGTCACTAACTAATCTAAAAGGCTGCATCTAAGCATCCCCCCGCAGGAGAAGTGCAAGGCCACAGAAGTAGCGTTTTGAGGCATAACGGACACAGAGTCAGGATTTATGGGGGTAATTTGAGAGCACAACCTTATCGCTGTGAGCCCAGCCTGTAAGCTGCTGAGCCGTTTTTGATTAAAGTTCATTTCGTGCTGCACAAAACTGCTACACACGCAAAACGTGTCCAAGCAGCTTCGTTACTGTTAAAGAGGGTGTATTGAATGCTGTAAAACTAGCTGGCTGTGTTGTGAAACAGCCATAGCAAAGCTGACAATCAATGACACGCACTAAGCACTGCAATGCTGTTCTGTGATTGGCTATGCCGGTGTTCATTCCTGAGGAGCCAATCGTCTCACCCGTACCAGGCAGGGACAGCAATCTGACCTTTTCCGCTGTTACTTTTCAGCAATATATAATTTAGCATATTTATTTAACACTTTTATTTAACCTCCGATTGACTGGTTATGTGGCCACGTGCTTCACCACTACCCCACCTGCTGGCCATTCCAAACATCAGACGGCTCCCCCTGCTGGCGGTAATAAATCATCTTTGCATTGCCCCGCCCAGTAAGTGGACGAGGGAGAGAGAGGACTCAGTCCTGCAGATAAGCTGACTAAGAGCTTGTCAGCTGCAGAGCCCTCTGTCCAATAGCGGTTCAACAGCCCGAGACAGGAGGCAGGCCACAAGGTGAGCGCTGCCATAGCAACAGCAGGCGGCTCTGCGAGGGAGACCGCAGCCTGGGTGAGAAGATCACACACGAGGGAGAAAGACATTCTGCTCTGGGACTTCATAGTGTTCACCCCACTTGATTAATAGCTATAAAACTGCCCCAAACCCCCCAACTCCCCAGTGAGGGGGCTGGTCTGAGCCCTCCGGTTATGCTATGGTTTTTGTTGCTGAGGCAGGGGGGTGGGGGGGTGTCTACCACTTAGCAGGATAAGTGTACCAGATACTTGCCTCGGAATCCTGAGTACATTGAGGCTTGAAAGCTTCTTCCAGAATTTGCCGGCTACAGCATATGGATGAGCTGCAAATTCTTAAAGGACCTTAGCGTGTTTTCAGCTCATAAAACTCTGCTCCTCCCTCACGGCGTGGCCAGCTCAACGCGATGGCAGCCCTCCAGGCAGGGAAGCTGGGTAAATGCGCTTACGTGCCTTATGTCAGTGTTTCCCAACCCAGTCCTCAGTGACCCCCAGACAGTCCACATTTTTGCTCCCTCCCCGCCAAACACCTGGCATGGATGTGCTGGGAGCTGGTAGAGAACAAAAATATGGACTGTCTGTGGGTCACCGAGGACTGGGTTTGGAAACACTGCCTTATGTTACTATGGGAAAGAAAGGATCATAAACCACTTTAGCTTTAAACATTTAGGAACACGAGCCTGTGTCCTCACATCTTCAGAAGGGGGGGGGGTGAAGAAGAGGTAAGGGAGAAAGGGACACCCCTGGGATAACAAATACCCACTCTTTGTCTTCACTATTTGCCGATAAGGCATGGATGGGTGTGTGCCATCTCATTGCCCCCCCCCGCCTTGTCCGCAGACTCTCCTCAGAAACACGAGCGACAGCAGTGGCAGCGGGGGCTGAATGATTTATGGCCTACAAGAGTCACGGGCTCGAGGAGGCAATGAGGAGGACAGCTGCGAGACAAAAGCAGACTAACAGGGGGGCGTGTCCCCCCCACTGGGAAGCCGGCCTGAACCCCCACCCTGGGAAGTTTCGGGCTTCAGAGGATGGAACCGGAGGCAGCAGGTGGGGCCAGTGAGATCCAATCAACAGGCAGGATGACAGTCA